AAATACTTTTCTTTGTTTCAAAAATCTCAAATTTCATTTGCACAACCTCTGAAACCTTCTAAATACCATTTTGTTTTCAATAAAACGTTATATTTTACCTGTTATTACATTTATTATTTGATTCTTCAGCCTGTAGACAACTCATTGAAGTAGAATGAAAGGAAAAATTGTAAAATCAGAAATATAATGAGCAGCTGTTTCCTTTTTCTTTATTATTGATCATGAAGTTTCAAAGTTCTTCCCCTGAAAGTTTCAACTGCTAAACATATCCCATGTATTTTCTGTGTTTATTTTACTGTCATCAACAAATTACAAACCTGCTGACAAAAAAGCAATAATTCACCACCCATGTTATAAGACTGTTTACATACAACCGTAATACGAAACTCTTGAGCGCAAAAACACACGCGTATTCAATGAAGTGATATTTCCCTTGCTCCGAGAACACAATATGAGGTATAGCAGTTTATAGTTCCTACAACACTTTCAACAGGAATTTCCCAGGGAAATAAAATTGCAATTAGAATGTGTAAAAACATTTATTATATGGTTCAGAGTTGGGCTGATCAAATAAACATTGTAGGTTCTGAGCTGGGCTTATCCAATTACATAGCAGGTGTTTCAGTATTATGGTCGCTCATTTGACGTGTGTGGAATTTTGCAGCATAAGTATATGAAGGTGTTATTTGGGCACATTCTTATAAATGATACTACCCCTCTCTCACTTTCACCACACTTAGAAAGTAAATGAGAAATACACTGACAAAGATTTTGAGTACGTAACCGTGTTACGAAATGTTGCGCTCGTGCATCAAACTTGCTAAGCCTTGACGTAAGCCTCGTTTATTCTTCTGAGTGAAAGGGGTAGAGATACTAATTTTTTTAGGCTTCAAGTATGAATTTTTGAAGACCAAAAAGTTATCAAGTTACTGTACTAGTACAATCAAAATCCCTGTAATTTAGTTGGGTCTCTAAATAAACTGTATGTGGGTAAAAAAAAAATCCCATTCTTGTTCAGAGCAACAACCAAATCATCACACTTCAATGGCTTTGGAAAATTATTATTTTCTCAATCGAACTATTTATAAACAACTGTCAGGGTTACGTATGGGTGAAAATGTTCTTTCTATTGGTTGTAAGCAGTAGCTAATTAGTAGTCAGTGGGACTAGATAAGAGCTTTCAAAAGATTGGTGCAGTGGGAAGAGTAGTAGACTTGCTAAAAAATATTGCTATCTCAGCAAATCATAGAGGAGGGAGGTTCTTATTTTATATTTAGCTTGTCTATATTTCAAATATGTGTTTCTAATTCGTTAGCTATTTATACATGTTGTATGGTGAGCATAATAAAATGGCAACTGAACAATAAGACAACCAGACGTGTTATGTGACACACAAAATTGATATTTAAATTTTTTCTTTACATTTCCTTTTAAAAAAGAAATTTAAAAAAAATATAATATCAAAATCTAAATTACAACCTACATTTTGATGCCAATTTCATTGATGTAAGTAGTAAAAATATTATTTAATAAAATTTTGAAAATAATGCTCCAAAACGTCGTGACACGTGCACTTTAACCTACCTGGGGCGAAAGGGTTAATACACAGAATGACACATACATGTTCCACCAGTATCTATCCTGATGCAATAGGCATGTCCAGTAAAATGTATTTAAAAAATTAATTCCATATTTATAGTTTCTTTATTAGATGCAACATATACTTAATTATTTCATTATTATAGTATCAGTCAGCCTGTGAGAGAAAGGTATTTAAATTAAAATCATTCTGATTATGTTAGCATACTTGTATAGTGCCGTTCACAGTGTTATTGATAATGGAAGAGTGTTTGCACTGTGCTATTTACACTGATGATATTTTGGGTAGAAAATTTCTGAATTAGTTGAACTTGTACAAATATCAGATTTTTCTAAAAGGCATAAAATTAAGAGTAAAATAAACATCAAAGAATATTCATAAATACAAAATTCATGCACTTTAAAGTGAATAATAACGCAATAATAGAAAATGTGTGTGTGTCTATATATATATACACACACACACACACACACATACATACACATATGTATATATATTGTTGAGGATAATATTTTGTTTAAAAGACAAAACAAACCTTAAACTTACCTGACTTTGCTTTGCATGATCTGAAGTACAATCTGGAACAATGGTAGACAGTTTGGCTATCCAATTATTAATTTTGTCCCGACGCCTTCTCTCGACTGTAATGTTTATTCTTAATCAGAAAACAGTACTTAAACATTCCAAATGTACAAAATTTGAGAAAACAGAGAATAATCGTTATGAAATTTAAATAAAATTGAATTATACAGGATTTATCATTAATGTTAACTTTTTTTTCTGCTTTATTGTAAAACCAATCATAAACACTTTTTTTTCATTACATTCTGTAAGTTCGAAAGTTTGGTTTTTTAAACAACCTTAAAGATCAATGGCTGCAAGACATATTTATTAAAGATACCTGAAAAGAGAGAGAGAGGTACTCCACAAAACCAGTTAAACACTGTTAATGAAGTTCATTATAAACCAGAAATTTCTGATTCCTTTATATACGTTTCTTTATCTCTTGTGGAAATTATTGATAAGAAACTCATTTTAAGCAGTAATATTAACAGATATGGCTATTTAGTCAACACAGAAAGTTCAATGGTGATATCAAAATGGATGACAACAATAAGTATACATTAGCTTATAATTGGTATCACTGACAAAAGGATAAAGTTAAAAAGAAATTAATACACTGTCATGTAACCTAATATACAAAGGTAGTTATTCCAGAGCTTATACTATCTCTACTCTCTACATGCCTTATTATACTGAAATATAAATTACCCTCATTATGTGTTGATCTTCGTTTTTCATCCCTTCCTGCTCTTGGTTTTTCTACTTTAGCAGTGAACTGTTCTGTTCGGGGTGCAAGTGAACGTTGTCCTGGCTGGTAAACTTCTTGTGGTGACATCATTACATAAAACTGACCTACTTACGTAAATAAAAATCATCTGTTATCATCCTCGAAAGACAAAAAAGTGTTTTAGCAAAAAGCTACATAATGGGCTATCTGCACCAGATCTGGTTATAGTCTATCAAACCTCAAACTTTAGTGTTTATAATCCCTGAAGCTTAAAACTGAACCCAGGAAAATGACAAAAAAAAACATACTTGAAGATAAACAGAAAGTAATTTTTGAATCCTATATATGTGAAGTTCAGATATAATAACATACTGTGATTTGCATCTTAACCAAATAAATATTATTTGAGATAAAATTCACCATAAGTGAATATCAAATGATATCAACATTAGAAGTTAGGTTTGAACCTTCAGTTTAATTTACAAGTAGGTTCCAGAAATTTTTAACATGGATTTTGTCTCTATAAACAAGTTAAAAATTTTAGCAACATGTGATCTTTGAAAAATTATAAGAGTTTTAGCCACACATTAAAATTTATACTTAGTTCATGATGGTTATAACCAATGTAACTATGTTATAAAGATCTGAATATTATGGTGAGCAATATTGTAAATATTTTAAGTAATACAAAAGCTCTTCTAAGAATTATTTAACTTTTAGTTATGACCTTATTATAATGAATGTCCTTTTCTTTGGGGGGGGGGGTATTTTATTAGTGTAAAATTCTCTAACATAACAATGTTTTACTTTAAAATAAAGTGCACAATGTGTAACATGTTCCCCAAAGCAGGACTAAAGCCTCTTCAGTTCTTGTCCAACAAGGTAAACATTCTATACATCCAGTTACTGATGATCTTCACCATAATGATAATTTCATCAACAGTGAAATTAAAGATTGAATTAGACGGTATATGAATGAAAGTTGTAATTTTCTTATACTGAAAATATATTTCCAAAAGGTACTTACCTCCCATCACATAAATAGCTATTCTCCTTCAGTGCTGCCCTCTATATCCAAAATATTTTTTCGCATGCCACAAGTCTTGAGCTCCCACGTACCTTACAATCAACTGATTCGAATGCATCTCGCATATAAATCATCATGCGACAACTTTCCATCAATAAGAATGCAACACACTCTCTTGACGCATGTGACTCCCTACCAAATTCTACCAAACTACCACTTCAAGTTTGGGCAGAAAATTGAAGCACCAGTTTTCAGTGGGGAGGAAGGGTGGGAAATGTGAAAATATTTTCAGTATAGGAAAATTATAATTTCTGATACAGTACATTAGCTCCTCTCACATAAATAGTTAGAATCCCACACCGAATAGGTGGAGGGACCAATGCAAAGGAAAAACAAAGCAGCATCCCTCAAAAACGTCCAAAGAACACCCTAAAAGGATAGACCCTCATAGGAGAGGATCACACGTAGGAGACCACACCACATCTAAACCAGGTATACTCTTTGCCCAGTTTGGAATGGTGTCACAGACATGGGTGGAAAAAAAAGAAGGAACACATCCATATGGGATAGAACAATGGAGGGATAGGGATTTGAACCACAACATAACAAAACTCAATCACAAAGAGTACTGGAATGTGGTTGAAAGGAAAAGGATGTGCCCCTAGGTGTAGAGTGGTTAGACATGATGGACCACACATAGCAAGTCAAGTGCATTCAAAACCCAGGCCACCGGGAATCGACATCCATGTGGGGGTAGGAAAGAGGATCATACCATCTTTACCTCAAGTTCAGCAAACTGGAGGGAATCTCGTACCTGCCCATTTATGAATGGAACACATGATACCAATGTCAGAAATTGATTGACCGATTCGGGAACCCACATCCAGATGATCAGCATCATAAAGATGTCTCTGTAATGTAAATTATCTCTGTCAAAACCAATCCAACAGGAACTTACCCTAGTGCAATAACATCCTCGGTACAATATAATCATTGATGGTTAGCATAAGATGAAGAACTGTATTAATCTGCAAGTACCTCCAGCGAGACCCACAACATGGATAGAGGAACAAAGATATAATTAAGTGAGAAACAGAGACACTTGTAATACATGTGTAGGAATTTATGTTGATTGGTTCAGCTCTGAACTCAAACCCAGCCAATGGGAACTGACATCCATGTGGGGGTAGGATGAGGGATCCCAATCGAAGAGATGAACTGCAATATTGACTGCTCAATCCAAAGCTACCACATCCCCTCAGATAACCATGTACAGAGATTAGAGGACATCTCATCATCTACAACAGCAGAACCCCCCCCCACCCACACACACACACTCTTAACTGACTTGTTTAATCATTATATGTAGAGTTTTTCCTTATTACATTCAGGAGGATGCCTCCATGGTCTATTGCCCCAGCAACTTAGAACTGGAAAATGGTAAGGGCTCCCATACTCCACTGGAAGAAAAGGGGAAGAAAATGCAGTGGAGAGTCTGGAGGAACAACAACACTGGAGCCAGTGCAATGGGTGACCATGAAAACCTGGTAGGATCCTGAGGCAGTGGAAAGGAAATGGGTACATGAGATAATGGAAGAGGGGAAAGAAATTGGATGACAAGTCCCTCAAATAAAACCCAAATAACCCACAAATCAAAAAGGGTAGCTTGCTGTCACACCAACTCTACATGGGGTCCCAATGTCTCAGGAATATTACTAAAAACATACTGTTGAAGAAATGGGGCCATATGCAAGTCCTGAAGATAAGAATGTGGTAAACAAACCTGGGACAAGGCTGCATCTCTCCCCAAGAGATCCCAACAACAGAGAAACCACGTGTGTAAGGCTAGAGCCGAAGAAGACAAACATGCCAACGTGAAGGTAATCAGGGAGAGAATCCCTCCAAAACCCTCAGGATCTCTTGGATTGCCTTGGAAAGGAGGTGGATAGTAGACAAGTAATGTAGAAGAGTCAATAGGGTAGGATGAAGGCAGGAAAATTTGGCAAGGGATAAACAAACAGGATGATCAGGGTCCGCCTTCCATGTGGGCAAAATCGATTCTAACTATTGTGAATCAAGAAAAGGACATTCAGCCTGACAGTAGGCCAAAGCAAACTAATCCAAAGCCAGTGGAGGGCAAGGCATGCTGGCACCATCAGCCATCTGAGAAACAAAATGATCAGCATGAACCCTAATATTCAGGGAATGGGGAAAAACCAAATACTGAGAGGAGGAGGTATCTTGTAACAAAGAAAAACTGGGATCAAGATAGTGTGTCACACTCTATTTGGTGGAGGGTTGTTGCATGATGATTCGCATGCAAGACACATTTGAATCAGTTAATTGTGCATAAAAAAAATCCATATAGAGGGCAGCACTGAACAAGGTAATGTACCACATCAGAAAGCGATATGCAGAATCACAACTTTTGAAATATTTCAGTTGAAAATTAATATATTTAAAAAAAATTGAACTGACTGAAGTTCAACTGATTTTTTTGCAATCTTCAATAAAAAAATTTACACAAACTTATTTTTATCTTTAATTTAAATATATATAGATCTAAAGTGTAAGAAAATATACTTGAGATTCATATAGCACACCAGAAAGTGTTGAACTGACTTGCCTTTGGAAGTTAATAGCTAAAGAAAACTTTTGTAGGTTTGGAAGAGTACTCACCTTCTTCTGGGTTGCTAGCACCATTAGCTGTTGCATAAGGATTGGTAATTATTGCTTGGGCAACCTGCTGTCCAACAAGAGCAGCTGTAGCTGTGGTCACAACTTGGGGTACTTCTGGTTTTATGTCTGAAGATGGAGCTACTCTAACCACTCGATACGTAACTAGAAGTGCACAAATATATAATGTTTTAAGAAATGGACTAGTATTTGCGACTTACATGAATACCAGATTTTTTTGGTCACTCTATCAAAAAAAAAAAAAAATACCCTTAAAAAGATTTCATGAAACATTCTCATCTAAGTATAAAACATGTGCATATGATTAGAAAAATTATAACTTACTTTCATGGTTTATACATGCACATTTTTAATTAGGGTATTGTCAACAAGTCCAGTGAGCCTGACCAGAAAACCAACCATGTTCACACAAATTTTA